GATCGCGGCGGGAGTGGGGGGGGGAGGGGGGGGGTACTCTTATGTTTTGCATGCCTCAGCGGTTAGACCATTGACCACGCGTCCTCGAGAGGACGGAGCATTGTTCCCACAGGACCGATCACCGATGGCCAATCGGGGGGGGGGTAGGCCGGCACTCACCAAATCCGCCTCCGCGATGGGGTTGCACTTGCACATGGTGCCGTCGCCGAAGACGACGAACGGTGCTCCGCCTTGCACCACCTGCGATCGTTTCGACAAAAGCAAGGATAGGAACACCAAAATACAAACCATAATAAGATTTAAACATATCGTAAATTAGAATATAGAGAAAATACAATTTTATATTAACGAAATTTTGCCCAGGAACAGGAATAACACGACAGTGTGAGTGGGGCCGCCCCTGCGAGGATATTAAGCAATGGCTACCATATTTGAAATAGAGAGGGGAGGATCGTAACGCTAACCCTCACCCGTAACCCTAGCTAAAAACAAAGCGTAATGTCCTCGCCAAGGTAACTGCTGTGTGTGTTCCAGTAATCAGCATCGACCGAGCTAACCGGTTGACCGATGAGAATACGTCATTTCCAGCGGGGGAAAATCAAGGCCCTTGGAACGAGGCCAAAATTCGAAGAGTGTCTAACTCGTTGAATGTGAACTTCGCCATGAACCTCTCTACAAAATCCTTCCTGAGACATGCACCGCAAGCTTGTGCGTGTGTAGGATTTAACGAATGTACTCAATACACATACGTTGTTTGGTAATGTGAATTCCCGGTCTAAGTAAGAAGCACGGCTCATACTCGAGGATCGTGCCCTGCTGTTCCTCCGCACTGTTCCGCGGATCATTCCCTGAACGCATGCATCCGTACGTCACTGCTGTAATGCGCGTGTTCCAACCTACCCCGTCCACTGGACGTCTTCAACATGTCAGTCGCAGGGAATCCATGTCAGCTGCCTCACTACTGGTTTCAGTATGGGGGCGCTCATTGTACTCGGTTTAGTATTGGTGGTCCATTCTACTTGGCTTAGCATGGGTGCGGGCGGGGCAGCGTGCCGGTTCAGCGCTGCATGCGTCCACGCCACGCTCATCAAAGTGGTTCCGCGTTGGCGCTGTGCTGTGCACAGCCCCGCTCGCCCCTCGACCTGCCACGCCACTTCCCACTTCTCGACCTCTGATTCCAGAGCTCCGTCGCCTCTTCCTCGACAACTCTACAATCCTGTCCCGTGAAGTTGTACCTCGGAGAGACCGTCTGTTCACCAGACAACCAAGGCACCAGCACCCTCCTGTGGTCCTAGATGGCAAACTCTTATTGGCGTCAGCGGCAGGAGATAAAAGACCACTCTGGAACCAGACCACGACGAGCGCTGCATAAGGCGGGCGCAGCGGGGCAGCCCGAGGGACACCGTTTTCGAAACGAGTGCAATCAAGGTGAAGCTCGAGAGCGGAAGAGCTGACGTTCACGTTGACATGCTTAACGGAGTTAGCTAGACGCAAGGCACTTTCCTCGACACATGTAGGCCGCCTCATGCCTTGCTTTTAGCTTAAGCTACGTCAAGCATATTAACGCGAACGCCAGCTCGTATGCTCTTGAGCTTCG